TTACTTTAAAAAAAAAATCTAATAATTGCACCTCAATGACTTCTGTCATTATTTATCCTAAATGCAAACAACATTTTGCAAATGATAGTAATTTTGTTTTCTACTGGACATGGGTTTGCATGGTTAATCATGGGCTAAATCACACATATTGCTGTACTTTAACTCCTTCGTGATCAACAGTTTTTTGAGATTTGGTGTGTTAGTGAGGCTTTTTTTGGTATTTTGCTATTTGTTTGTTCCACCACAATTCAACACTTTCTGTTTAAGTGTAACCAGACATATTATATATCATTTTTTCTTAAAATTCCTTAAAGGAACACTGTAGGGTCAGGAACGCAAACATGTACTCCTGACCCTATTGTTTTAAAACCACCATTTATGCCCTTAAATATAGTAAAATCTTACTTGTATTCAAGTCTGCAGCTGCTGACTCTGCCCCTGTCTGCTGACATCAGCAGAAGTAGTGGTCTGAGCCAATCGCAATGCTTCCCCATAGGATTGGCTGAGACTGTCAATGAGGCAGATCAAGGGCAGAGCCAGCACAAGTCAAACACAGCCCTGGCCAATCAGCATCTCCTCATAGAGATGAATTGAATCAATGCATCTCTATGAGGAAAGTTCTGTGTCTGCATGCAGAGGGTGGAGACACTGAATGGCAGTGCTGCACACTAGGCAGGACTGCCCCAGGAAGCACCTCTAGCAGCCATCTGAGGAGTGTCCAGAGAAGTAATCACTCGGCTCTAACACTGCATTTTCTCTGAAACTACAGTGTTTACTGCAAAAAGCCTGAAGGGAATGATTCTACTCACCAGATCAAATACAATAAGCTGTAGTTGTTCTGGTGAGTATACTATCCCTTTAATTAAAGAAAAATCAGTAATACACAGTTTCACATCTGTTCATCAAATAGACAAGGATAGCTTGAGACCAGTGCCAATGAATTTGGTACTGCATATGAAAGCCAAACAAAAATGAGAATGAGCACCGAAAACTACATTACAGTAGGTAACAGCTTCTTAATGATAAAAAATGTAAGAAAGGGAGAGAAGAAAAGATATAAACATAAAAGAGAAAAGAATATATAGAATTTTAAATTAGAAGTAGATCTTTATTCTGATATCCTACATGTGTACATAAAACAAGTATGAATAAAATAAAATAAAAAAACACAACCTTTTCTCAGTCTTACTTATAATAGTTCCTACAAAGGGACAACTTAAGAATAATAACTTTAAACTGATTATTGGGTGGAATTGGGATAGGAGGCTTCAAGAGGGTGTTACCAGTGATGCAACTTACATCACTGGCAACACTCATAAAAGGCAGGCCCATCCACTAAATGGTCATGTCGGCCTGATGTCAAGCACGGTGGACTGACAGACATTTTCCTGGCTGGTTCCCAAGCTACAGGACAATACAGCGATGGCAGCTAAGGCGTTCTTGGCACGGTCCTAGTGCCCGCTGCACAGCAAGAGCATTTTTAATGAAGTCCCAGCACTGTGCTAAACAGTGACAGTTCCCTGATGTGGGACAAAAGGGAACAAAAGCGAGAAGGCACGACAGGACCCCTAAGTTGGGACTGAACCACCAAAATCAGTACTGTTGGGAGCCCTGTATTATTCATGTTTATTAAAATTCCCAGTATGGCTGGGATTGCAATTAATATTTGGAAGTTAAATAGCTAGATTAATAGCGCGCAACTCCTTCAGGGTTGTCAAATACAGCCATAAATGTTTATTGGGCACCGCCATATTATATGGTGATCAATGGTCAAAGGTTTTATCTAGTAGGCACCAAAAAAAACATAACGTAAAACAAGTACAAATATTAACAGTAGAGGCTGCTCTGCAAATAGGCAAATTGAAGCCACAGTTTCAGGCCTTGTTAGTCCAAGGTACCCTGCAGTCAATGTAGTGATAAAGGCTTTGCCGAAACACGTTAGGTTCAATCCATGCACAAGTGGACTTTACAGATATATAAATTGTATTTTATTTGTTTTTATCCAGCTACCTTTGAGTGTGTCTAACAAATTGTTTGCATTATTTCCTGCATCCTGGAATATTTTAAAGCAACAACAGTTTGAAGGACCACAGAGGGGAAACAGCTTGGAGTCTGACAACCACGTGCATTCACCTGATATACGTCTAGTTTGAGCCAGCTTTTATTAACATGACCATGTGAGTGTAACCATTTATAAATTAAGTTACACTGAGTTGTTTACGTTATTACCCTACTGTCACGGTAGTTTACCCCTACACGCAGGATTTAGTTCAACAATCGACAGATAGAGCAGATCCGACTTACCGGACCTTAGAATGGCCGGACTCGCCGTATAGCAGAGAAAAGAACAAGCCGAGGTCAAGGGAACAAAGAGACAGCGAGAACAAAAACTAGCCAAGGTCTGGTACACAGTAGTCAGTAAGCTGGCAAACAAGACAAAACAGGGATAGAGAGATAAACGGAGTCAGATACAAAGCCAAGGTCAAGCACGAAAATCACAACTGAACCCAACAAGCGCTAAAGGGAACTGAAACAGAAACCACGATAGGGCAGGGAGTTAAGGGAGAGGTAAGTATAAATACCCTAAACTTTACTTTGATAGGCCCCTGTCATATCCACGTCCCAAAAATGTGAGTGTCTGGGGAATGTGGGATGACAGGGGCCAATGGGAGCACATTTCATTTTTTGGCTCCCACTGCCCCTTTAAGAGCGTGCCCGAGACGCGCGGCACGCTCTTAGAGCTAGGCGGGACACGTGACTGCATCTCGCGGTCCGTGCCCGCCTTCATTTGGGTGCTGCGTGCAGCGTGAAGTGAGGACCTCGGCCGGCCCCCGGGTAAGGTAAGTACCGCTACACCTACGCTGTGGTTTTTCCTTGTTTTATATTTACAGGCTTGGTTAAAGCATTGATACACCAAAGTGTGCAATAAGGGTAATGTGCAATTTTAACTAAGAGTGTTCTCACCATCTACTTTTTTTTCACTGTATTGTTTATGTTTATGTGACTAAGTGACTCACATAGGTGATAGTAGCACTCCTGTAGGACTTTTTAACCTTATTTCTCTCTTATTTGCAATGTAGTCGGCCTAATCAGATGGTCACACGGGAGGATTAAGTGCAGGTCTTGGGGTAAATGGCACAGCAGTAGCCTAGTCCTGTGTCACTGCTGAAGCTTGGGTAGGTCGGGCAGGAGAAGATGTTGTTAGGCCCCGTGTAGTCAGCAATGTGGACGCCTCACCCTTAGATCAGATTGTGTGAAAAGTTCAGCTCCAAGTCACCAAGAGTAGGATAGGGGGTCCCCATCAGCAGGCTAAAACAGCAGTACACAGTTGAGATGTTTAAGGCCCCATGGAACTGCGTCACTGCATAGTGGCCCTTGAGAGGTCTTGATAGAAAGATAACTGAGAGTCCTCAAATTGCACAGGTGTTTTGCCGCACAAGGCTGCCATGATGCAATTTAATTTCGATCTGCAAAGGAGGTGCATCTCAGGATTACATCTCATGGTGTATTATAAGTATTTATGGTGTTTCCTGCAAATCTGTAGACCCCATCAAGGGTAATCTTATTGGCCACTGCAGGTAGTAAGATACAGGCCAGTAGCCTCCGAATGTAGTGAGGCAGCTCGTCCGAAGCGATTGTCATGCCACGAATTTTGACATGGTTGCAGCAGTGTCAGTCTTCAAGTGTGGTTAGTTGCATGAGCATTGACTGTTGGTTGTTTTGTAGCTGGAGGACCAAGTTGCTGAGCATGGAAACCATGTATATCAATGACATTCTCTTCTGAGGCTCGTACGTGATCAGTTACTGCTCGGACATCTGTCTGGACGAGAGCACAGTCTGCAACCCTCATCTTGGGTAAATCGGCAAGTGGAACCCTGATATCATCCTTTATTGTGGGTTTCCGAACCACTCTTGGAGAGGCTGTCAGTCTGGATCAGGTGTCTGAGTAGGCTTCATGCATGGCCCTGGAAGGGGGCACATAGAGCTTCATCAGGCACTGGATTCTAGGTGAGTAAAACTCCATTTTGTTTACAGGTTTAGAGGGGGCACATTCTCCATAGTGCGCAATAGGACATTTTCATTAATATAAACTCACAACAAGTCAGTTTTGTTTCTTATACAGGGACTTGTGTTCTCTTTAAAACAATATAAGGTCAATGATAACCTCTCATGTGTGTTATGAATAAATGGAATTTCTTATAACATACACACAAGTATCGGCTGTGTGTCATGGCCAAGTTTCAGGGGTCACCCGCGGGGGTTGATTTAGCTTGTCTTGGCTTCTGGAGCATAGCTCCGTCCTATGTCTCTACCTTCATGTTTTCATGATAGGTGAGCGTTCCCGAGATAGAGGTGGTGAGTATTGGGCTGTTCCATGTCCACTATGCCCAGGAGTGTCTCTAGGTCTAAGTGTGGCAAATTAAGGTAGGCTGTAGACTTGCACTTCAGCGTGGGTCGCTTAGTGTGGAACATGAAAGGTATTAATTGATGCAGAGAGTCACTCTGGATGTAATGATTAGGTAGTCAGTTGCGGTTGGCACCGTCTTTTGCCACTATTTGGCGTTTGATGATTAAACAGCTAGGAGCTGACAGAAATGGCATCCGCCTTGACCCGCTTGCAAGCTCTGACCCCCTTCCCCCCCACTTTTTTATAAATCTAACCCTACCGTTTGCATGCAGGAAGCCCTGGTCGGGGCCTCTTCTCCCTCTTTCTTGGGGGATGCTAATATCTCCGACCGGGACAGACTGTGGATAGAAAGCAACCCTGATAAAAATGTAGACCAGTGCTATAATGTGTTGAATGGACATTACAAAAGGATAATAGCTGTTAGATATGAAAGAACAATCTCCAACCCAGCAGATTTTATTACAACTTACATAATCTAATTCAATTCTACATATTTCTAGTGATGTCCCAAACAGTTCGCCAAACGGTTCGCCACGAACGGTTCGCCGTGGACTCATCATTGAGTAAACTTTGACCCTGTACCTCACAGTCAGCAGACACATTCCAGCCAATCAGCAACAGACCCTCCCTCCCAGACCCTCCCACCTCCTGGACAGCTCACAATGAATGTAAAATGGATGCTGTCCAGGAGGTGGGAGGGACTGGAAGGGAGGGTCTGCTGCTGATTGGCTGGAATGTGTCTGCTGACTGTGAGGTACAGGGTCAAAGTTTACTCAATGATGAGTCCGTGGCAAACCGTTCGTGGCAAACCGTTCGCGAACCGTTCGGCAAACCGTTCAGGACATCACTACATATTTCCTATTTTAGTTAAAAACACCAATAATGCTTGAAACATTACAAAATTCTTAATGCACAGTAAACTATTAACAGTGTTAAGTATGGGAAACGTTAGAAAACGTTAGAGCTGCCACTATTGCAATGCACCACCATATTGTTTATTTTAAGCAATCAGCAACCTTTCTAGCAAGTTGCTTTTGTAAGCCAAAAGATCAAATATTGTGTCTCCCTCCCATCAGGGCCTCTTTCTTTACTGACACGAGCATAAAGGCCTCCAAGTGTGGTTGGGAAAGGGAATTCTGAGCTCTGTTTCAGATGTATTTGAGTTTGGTAAAGGATCTTTACATTTCACCTAGAGGAGAGAATCAACATTAACTTGTATGCATGAAAAAGTGAACTGTAGGCTAGACTGTACAGGTTGTAACTGTCACGATACCTAGTGACCCAACAGGCAGAGTGTAAATAATAGATGTAACAACATATACCAATCTTTAGGGTGGCCGGGCTTTTACGTTTAATAGATATAGAATGGTCAGGGACAAGCCGAGTCAGGGAAACCAGAAATCAGGGAAGCGAAAACCAATAGCCGAGTCACAGGATTACAGAATGGAGAGTAGTCAGAATATCTGAGATCAATAAACCAGAACTACACAGAATACACAAGCACTATTAAGAGCCAAAATTAGAACCACAACAGGGCAGTGATCATTGCCCTATAAAGCCTTTTTATAGTCCGTGGCTTTAATTCCATAGCCACGCCTCCAAAACGGGCAAATTCTAACGTTTTGGCGGGTCATGATTTCAATAGCGTCATGAAGTTGGTGCGCATGCACCGCATTAAAAAAGGGGCAGAACTACAGCGGCCAGCATTGGATCCGCTGAGGAGATGAGAGAGATTGTGGGAAGAGTCCCTCTCCACCTGATGGACCTTCCCAGGGCCTGGGCAACAAAAGGTAACATAATAGCAATGCAGTAATACATTATAATGCCATGCTATACAATATTTGCACTTTTCTCTTTTGTTGTTCCTCAGCTTCAGGCATCAGGTGAAAATTCATGTCTCCTATGCTGGCATCAGTGAACTCTTCAACAAGAGTCATTTTCAGTCTTTCCCAATGTGACGCAAAATCAAGCAACTCCCTTTGTCATTTTTCTTTGGTTACAGTAGAATCAAATTTAATCATTAAGCTAATCAGTTGTTCTAGAGCATTTTGTGGAAATGTTTAAGGATGTCCTGGAAAGTTTTGGGGTCTAAACAAGGTAAATCGGCAAATATTAGACCGTGAGCTGTGAAATGGCTCTGTAAACTAGCGATTATATTGTCAATTCTCACAGTATAAACCCCTACACTAAATATTTCATTTGCTGACTTTATAGGTTCATCTGGAACACGTTTATTAAAATTCCCAGTATAATTGAACATTGATCAGAAACATTGGTATCCTGTGTGGTGGCATTCCAGCTTCTCTGATTTCTTGTGCAATGCCTTTTTTCAGCAGGAAAGAAATCACACCAATTATAGTGTTAACTGTTGTGTTTGAAAGCAGTGTAACCAAGCTGCCACGTCCTTTAGTGCTCTTTAGTTCTTTATGTTGTTCTTTAGTATTCTGAATCTGTATGATTTGATGAAGGTGACTTTTTAGCAGAGGATGAAATTTACTAAGAAGCAAAATTTCAATAAAATTACCATGGTCCAACTTTTATGTTCTCTAGTTCCCTGACTCAGCTTGTATTTTGACCTCCTGATTTCTGGTATCCTCTACTTTTGGTAATCCTTTGACTCCTCTTTTTTACCTACGTTAAACCCGACCATTCTAAGGTTCGGTAATATGTGCTTTAGTTTTCTCTGGTTTTACAAACTGCTTGTTGGGTTATCACACGACTGTGATATTACAATAGGGCCATGGACCCTGCAGGTGTCAACCCACAAGCTTCTGGTTATGACATGGGGTTCGAGGAAATGGACCACCACATGGACCAATTTGCCCAAATGGACCCAGGTCAGCATACACTTCGAATTACAACCAAGAGCCTATCCCACCGACAGGGCTAGAGAGGGTTTTTATCAACCTACTTGTGTATAGGGCATATGTATGGGCAATCCCTTTTTTGGGAGAACAACCCCTTCGTATCCAACTATACTGAGTTAGTGGCTGCAAACAATGGTCCCGCTCTCTTGTAGAGTACACTTTAGAAGTTCGCACTTATGCAGCATAAGTGCGATGGAACAACCAGGCATTCGTAGATGTATTTATGAATGGTCTCTCAGATACCTTGTTGGATGAGGTGGCAGCTAGGGACTAGCCAGAGGATTTAGAAGAACTCATAACCTATCTGTCCCATATAAACAAGCCTCTCAGGCATAGACATAATACTAGAGATCTACCAAAAAGAAGCCTTGTACGCTTGGCCTTAACTCCCAGCATCAGAAACAACCACTGTGGCCATCCCTAAACCAATGCAGTTAGGACTAACTAGGTTATCCGAAGCTGACAAGTTCTATAGGAAAAAAGAGGGCATTTGTCTGTATCGCGGGAAGAAGGGACATTTACATTTGTCATGTCCCAATTGGCCTGGAATACTCCTGCACCTAAGCCCTCTTGGAGGACAAGCCTTGGGTGTACTGCATATGTCCTCCTAGAAAAGAACTCGGGCTTCTACTCCCTTTATCCTTAAAATGGGAGAACAGGACTGTCCATACACATGCCCTTATCGATTCTGGGGCTGCAGAAAACTTTTTTAATGCCGCCTTTCCTAAGTCCTATTGTCTCTATTTAAGAGAAAGATCCACACCCTTGGCCGTAGAGGCCATAGATGGTAAACCACTTAGTAATCTTGTGATCACAAAGAAAACCATACCTTTTTTGATGATCGTAGGATTACTACACCAAGAAATGATAATCCTATAACAGATAACATTCCCATCCTCTCTGATAGTGTTAGGATTTCCTTGGCTTGTTAAACACAATCTTATAAAAGATTGGGAGACTAAGGAGGTCAAGAGTTGGAGTGATTCATGTATGGATGGTTGTGTTTCTAAAGTCAACCAGTGTGCCTCATAAACGTTGGCACCATGGAGCCTTTAAGAATTGAAAAACGTGTTTGAAAAGAAAGAAGCCGATAAGCTACCACCACATTGCCCTTATGATTGTGCGATCAATTTACTCCCTGGTTCTATGCCACCCATGGGTACTGTTTATCCCTTGTCTCTAAAGGAAAACGTAGTACTACAGGAGTACATCAAGGAGAATCTTAGGAAGGGGTTCATAACCAAATCTACCTCTCCTGCTGGTGCAGGGTTCTTTTTTGTTTTAAAAAAATAAGGGGATCTTAGGCCCTGTATTGACTTCCGCAGACTCAACAAGATAACTATACACAATGCATACCCAATTCCATTGATATTGGAATTTTTCTATAGGCTGAAAGGAGCATCTGTATTTATTAAGCTTGATCTACAAGAGGGCTAACAATCTGGTTCTAATCAGAGAGGGAGATGAGTGGAAAACAGCATTTAATTCACGATACGGGCATTATGAGTACACAGTTATGCCATTTGGTTTATGTAATGTCCCAACTGTTTTTCAGGACTTCATAAATTAAGTTTTAAGGAATTATTTACATTAATTTGTTATAGTGTATCTAAATGATATTCTGACCTATTCTAAAGACCTTAAAATACATCATAACCATGTGAGACTTGCTCAAATATTGATTATATTGTAAGCTGGAGAAGTGCCTTTTTGACATAAAAGATGTACAGTTCTTGGGATACATAATATCTGGTACAGGTTTTAGAATGGATCCAAAGAAACTGGAAGCAATATTAGATTGGCCCTTGAAAATAGGATTAAAAGCCATTCAACGCTTCTTGGGTTTTGCAAATTATTACAGAAGATTCGTAAACGGGTTCTCATCCATAACAGCCCCTATTACTTCCATGACAAAAAAAGAGGAACCCAACAAGAATGGGCGCCTGAGACCCTTACTGCATTTGAAACTCTAAAAAGGGCTTTTGCTTTGGCTCCTATCTGGGCACACCCTGACTCTTCTTTACCTTATTTGTTGGAAGTGGATGCTTCCAAGTCCGGTGTAGGGGCAGTTCTCTCCCAAAGATCAGTAGTTGATTTACCCCTTCATTCTTGTGGTTATTTTTTGAAAAAGTTAAGACAAAGAAAAACGATATGACATTGGGGACAGGAAGTTGTTGGCCATAATCATGGCTCTGAAGGAATGGAGACATGTGTTAGAGGGATTCTCCACTCCCATAACAATTCTCAAAGACAATAAGAATTTGTCCTGTTTAGGAGAGGCTAAGAGGCTATCAGATAGGCAAGCACGTTGGTCTCTGTTCTTGTCTCACTTCAACTATATTGTGACTTACAGACCAGGTTCCAAAAATACAAAGGCTGTACGGAACCGTTTTCTCTCTAATGCATTAGTCTAAGATAGCTGGTCATCCAGGTATCCATAAAACCAAAGCTCTTCTATTAAAACAATTCTGTTGGCCTTCTTATATAAAGGACGTTCAGGATTACGTAAAAGCCTGTATTGTTTGTGCCGCTAACAAGTCATTGCACAAACAACCTTGTGGTTATTACAACCCTTGCCTCTACCCAGCAAACCCTGGTCAAGGCTAGCATTGGATTTTGTAGAAGACCTACCTGTATCCAAAAACATAACAGTGATACTGACAGTCAAAGATAGGTTTTCCAAAATGTCTAATTTTAAGGAACACTATAGGGTCAGGAACACAACCGTGTATTCCTGACCCTATTGCACTTAGTGCTGCAATGTAAAACATTGCAGTTCCAGAAAATTGCAATGTTTACATTGCAGCTCTATGTCTGCCCCCAATGGCTGTCTGCCAGACAGCCACTGAGGGCGCTTCCGGAATCCTAACTGACCT